ATGGACAAATATCTTGCTTACTTTAACGCTAGGCGATGCTACACCCTTCACCATGCAAATGCTCATAACAGGTTGATTCATAGCTGTTTGGATCTCCCAACCTGGAGATCCCGCTCTGGAATCTCCCTCCAGCACTCCGGGAAATGGATCTTCAAGGAATTTTGAACTTTCAAATTTTAGGATCCCAATCTTGATTATTCGGAATATCGATCCCACTACTGGGGATCTAAATCCCCACTTTAAAGACCAAGATAAAGATCAAGCTAAGGATTTTCTTTGTTTATAACCAGCTACCAAATGTAGTTATATTTTTCATACGATTGCATTGTTTGTTGGCTATAAATAAAGAGATACCTACTTTAAAGAGTATATATAGTTTTAGATTATATATACTTTAAGGTCAGGATCAAGATCCCCAAAAGTTTGGGATCAAGATCCCAAAAAGTTGGATCAAAATCTTCAAAAGGTGGGATCAAGGTCCTAACATTTGGGGTCCTAACATATGCTCAGATGATGATGATGATGATAAGTGCCTAACATGTGCATTATCCAAAGATGCTCCCAACCATATGGATTTTGTAGCCTTTCACAATCTCCAACCTTTTATCCTGATGCCATCAACTATGGGCTGATCTCAGTGCCAAAATGTGGCTCACAAACAAGGTTTACATATAATAATCAAGTTTCTAATTTGTTTAATCTACCAGCCAAAAGAAGATTCCTGGTATGCTCCATAAACTTTTGCATTAAAAAAGCTTTAGATCATGGAATGCTTGGAGTTGCCCAAAACTGGAACCCATGCCAAATATCAAAAAGTTGCAACAAATAGATGAGAAAGTTTGCAACATTGCTACCAATATGGTAACCCAAACATGGGAGGTTGTAAGAGAGAAAAGATATCGACTCTACCAATGGCATAGATGAGCCCTAGTATGTAATGAACTCCTGTTATTATTGAAGCTACTTGATTTAAGAATAACTTAAATCTTTGAAGCGTGATCACTTCTATGAATAAGACTGAGATTCTAGAATCCTAGAGGTAAATTCTACTCAAAAATAAAATTTGACTATTCTTATCCAAGGTTTTGAAGTTTTATCTCTTCAGATTCAGAAACATCTTTTTTGTGTCAACCCAAAAATTAAATTGATCTAAGTGCTAGAGAAACCATAAGCTCTAGACTCCATAATGTTGTAATGTTTATAAGAGTAACCAAAAATCTTTGAAGCACGATCATTTATATGAATAAAACTTCAAGCTTCTATATCCATGTTGCAAAATTCTAATTAAGCATAAAAGCTAATGGTTCTTATTCAAAGTTTTCAAATTTTATTCTCAATAAGATCTTTTTTGCCTCAACCCATAATGGAAATTGATCTAACTGATAGGGAAACCATAAGCTCTAGACTCCATAAAATCTCTAAAAATAGCTAATGAGCTTAAACCTCTTAGCTTTCTCTGTCTATTTCTATTACAATTGAGTCATAACTAATACCATTCCTTCCAAATTAGCTAATTTATCTAGGAAAGTTAACTTGTGATCTAACTCCATTGGGCATAACTTCCCCTAATTGCCTAAGTTTCTTAAACAAAATAAACATAACCATATACAAGAAAATTGTCTTAGAATCCCAAAAACTGTAGAAATCCAATAATAAGATAAATAATTCAACAAAGGTAGAAAACAACAAGGGAAATGCATGAAACACATGATTAATCTCCATTCACAAATAAGAAAAATGGGGGTAAAAACTCAAAGAGCTACTGACCACAACAAAAATTGTGAATTTTGGGTCCCTATTTACGACCAATCGGTGAACCTGCAGAACCTCAAGCGAATAAGATTTAAAAGGTCCTGAAATCTGAAGAAAATTCATAAAAGAAAAGAAAGGAAAATATTGGAATTTATACCTCGTATTCAACTTTGTGCTTCTCAGGCTCCTCAAGTGGAACATAGTATTTTGCAAGACGCGTCTTCCCTTGCCTATTCTGGAGCAATATAAAACGGATCTGCAAAAACCAAATGCATTCCGATCATTCTGTAAAACCAAACACCATTTCCTTGAATAAAAAGAAGGGGGAAAAAAAAAACGTGTTTTAATCTTAGCTGGAAAAACACTATATCACATCACATTTAGCTTCAAAAAAAAAATCCAATTTTGATTTCAGCTGCAAAAAAAAAATTGTCAAATTCCTTCCAAGGCAAAAAAAACTCAAATGAACCCCAAACTTCATTAGATCCTTCTGCATCATTTCTTACTAGATTTATAACAAAATCAGAATCAGAAACCAATAAATAAGTCAATTAGCAAAAAAAATAAGAAGAAATTTCTAGAAAATCAAAATGGGGAAGCAAGAGATTGTCCGAAAATAAACACCTAACAAAGAAAGGGTTTAAAGCCTAAATTACCATGGTGGATTATAAACAACTCGTGCTGCCCGTTCAGAAATGGGGTAGAAATGAAATCAGAGTCATTACAGATGCCTGCTCCTTAGATTAAAACGCCAGGCATGAAGCTGGAAATGTCAAGGAAAATGCTATGATCCATATGACTAGGAAACCCCACGGTTACCAGGAAAATGCTATGATCCATATGATTAGGAAACCCAATGGTTACTACTTACGAGTGTTTTCCGCCGTTTAATAAAATAATGGATGATGATGATCACTTGTCCCCCCTGGTCCAAAGAGATATTTAGAATAAATTTATTTCGGGAAAGTTTTGTATAAAACCCTAATTCTTCCTTTTATTTTATGGTAAACCGTCTGTCTTTTTTTCTTTCAAATGGTATGAGGAAATCCCTAACTAGCACCGCACCGCTTATCTATTTTTTCCATCTTCTACTGATTTTGACCATAAAAATTAGTCTCAATAAATCTTTTATATCATTTCATACCAAAAAAAAATTTAACTTTCTTTTTCCTTTTCAACCCAGTAAAAACGTTTTTGGGTTGAAATGATATAAAAAGATTTATTCAGACCAATTTTTATGATCAAAATCAATAAAAGAGGGAGATAAAAAATGATGGGGCATGGTGAAATCTTTAGGGGTTTTCTTAAGCCGCTTGAAAGAAAAACGGAAAGAGGGTATACCATGAAATAATACGAGGAACTAGGGTTCTTTATGAAAATTTCCCATTTTTTTATTTAGATTTTTAAAAAAATTATAGGTATCGCCGTTTTATGACCTCCGGCTCCTCCCCTAAAACTTCGGATGTCACATTATTAACCTTAATATTGTTTATTTATTTCCCTCATCTCCCCAAGTAAAAAATAATAATTTTAGACCACTTACGCCCATCCCATTTTGACACATGTTTTCAAAACGCGATGTCCAACATGCTTTGGTTCAACAAAAAAATGTAGGGGACCAACTTGTTCCTATCCGATATAAAATGTGGGGGATTGACTTTTCATATTCAAATCTGCCGGTCCGACACAAAATGCGTCGGACCGGCTTATATTGAAATTGTGCTAATACGGCACATTTTGTACCATGCCAAGTTCTTTATTTAAGTTGTGCTAATACCGTCTTAGAAAGGGAAAGTGGGACACGTGGGTTAAAATAAGGGTAGTTTGATAATAAAAAAAAAAGAAATTATCACAAATATACATTAATTTTTGTTTATTTAGTAAAAAACCCTCAACTTTCATAAACCTATCTCACACCTTTTCTTTATTCAATTTTGAGTGTTTTTTTTATCAAAATAACTTTCATAGTAGTCATATTACCGTGAAAGGTATTTTAATTGCGGTAAGAATTAACCCATGTTATACGACAGTTTTAGGACCGTAAAAACTAACCCATGTTATACAACATTTTTAGGACAGTAAAGACTAACCCATGTTATACGACATATTAAGTATCGTAAAACTTAATCCATGTTATACGACATTTTAAGTATCGTACAAATTAACCCATGTTATACGGCATTTTAAGTACTGTAAAAACTAACCCATGTTATACAACATTTTAAGTACCATAAAAACTAACCCATATTATATGGCATTGTAAGTACCATTAAAACTAACTCATGTTATATGGCACTCAAAATGCCGTAAACTCTTTTCTCCTATTCATATTTATCTTTTTTTCCTCTCTCTAATTCTTTTTAATATTTATATCTTATTTCTCTCTCTAATTTTTTTTTTATTTCTTATTTCTCCATCTAAATCTTTTCTCTCACTAACTCTCTTTCTCGTTCAACTTTTTTCATCAACTCAACAAACATGATTCCAACAAGATACAAATTTGACTTCGTCTAATTTTCATAAGGGATGGGGTTGAAGGGAGTTTTTATAAGGGATGGTAAGGTACACATGTTGTTATACAAATCTCCTAGGAGAGAGAAAGAGAGTTAGAGAGAAAAAAAAGAGATAAAAAAGAATTAGAGAGAAAAAGAAGAGATACATATTAAAAAGAAATAGAGCGAGAAAAAAGAGATAAACATAATAAAAAGAAATAGAGATATGAAAGAGATAAATATAAACAAATAAAGGAGATAAATATAAATAGTAGAAAATGGTTTACGGCATTTCGAGTGCCATATAACCTGGGTTAGTTTTTACGTTACTTAAAATACCGTATTACATCGGTTAATTTTTACGGTACTTAAAATGCCGTATAACATGAGTTATTTTTTACGGTACTTAAAATGCCGTATAACATTTTAGTTTTTATGATACTTTAATTATCATAATTGTGCTTGATGATAATACGATTAGCGTGAGTGTTATTTTGGTCACAAAACGCAAAAATTGAAAAAAAATGGTGTGGGCGAGGTTTATGAAAGTTAAAGGTTTTTTTTTTAAATAAACGAAAATTAAAGTATATTTGTGATAATTTCCCTAAAACAAAGTTAGCCTTTTTGCTTTACAGGGTAGATGCAAAAATAAATAGTATTACAGTTAATAGTTTGATATCAATAATGGTTTTCTATGTGGTTTAAAGCTTCATCAAAGGGCCATCATAGCTCTATTAAGACTCTTATTGTTCAAATAAGTTAGAAGACTATCATGATTCTCTCCTAGAACCGTGATGGTTCCTATGAGTTAAAAGGCATCACGGTTCTCGTAGATCCGTGATGGCTCCCATGAGTTCAAAACTTCAAGATAGTACACATTTAACAAGTGGATTTATGAGTATTATGGACCTATTTGACCCCGTAATGACCTTCCTAATTTATGCAAAAAAACTATGAACAGTAAAAAATTTTGGTATGAATGAGGTTTTCGAAAACATTAGGTTTTTTCAGTTTTGAAGCAACAAGGATATTTTATAATTTCCCAAAATTGGACAGTCCTTTATTAATATTTTGACAAATTTTACTAATAGAATACAATTGAATTTTATTTATTTATTTATTTTAAGATTAATTGCTAGGCTCAAGAGTTTACATGCTCAAAAGTCCTTGTCCTAGCAATATTCGGGGTTTGTGTCTATCATGGAGAGAGTGAATAGACAGTGGATTCCCACGACAGCAACGATCATTGGGAAAATTGCTAAAAACCCTCAAAAATATACTTTTTAGATACTCTACCCCCACCCTAAACTTTACTTACTTATTTTTCTCAAAAACCATCTTTTATAACTAATACCTCCAACTCAAAAAGTTACATCTTTTCTGACGAAAATACCCTCCCTTTACATGACAAATCACTTTCAGATCCGAATAAAAGGAAACGCCGGACCGCACTTGTACAACGCCGTACTACTCAGTCTGGCGTACTTCAAAACATCGGACTGCCCCTACAAAATTTCTGACTGCCATATCAAAATACCGGACTGCCCCTTCAAAATGGCAGACCGCAACTTCAAAATGCCCGATCGTGACTTCCAAATGCTGGACCGCCCATTCCAACAAAAATATAATCGCCGGACCGCCACCATGAAACGTTGGACCGCCACCATGAAATGCCGAACCGCCCATTCCAGCAAAAAAAAATGGTCGGACCGCTTGTTCAAAATGCTGGACCGCCCTCTCTAACGAAAATAATTTGTTATGTGAGGGAAGGGAAGTTCCGTCCAAAATAAGTGAACTTTTTGTGTAAAGGGGTATTAGCTAGAAAACAACTGTTTTTTGCTAGGAAAAGTTGGGTGGGGTGTAAAGTGGGTAAAAAGTCCATCTTGGGGGGGTTTTAGAAATTTTCCCAAGATCATTTGCATATATTAAAATATATTGGGGAATCCTGTAAATTCCTTTAAGACCCGTTTGGGTACAGGGAGTTTGGGATAGCGGATTTTTAATATATTGGATATTACTAAAAGAAAAAAAGTTTTTATAGAGTCGAGGCTTTAAACAATCAAATTAAAGCCCACCTCAAAATTTTCACTAAAAGAGGTTGTTTTGATGCTCAAATATCCTCAAGTTGATCAACTCGACATCAAGATGTATGGACATTGAAAAAGGTGGATTTCAAGTTTGGAAAAAGTTTATATAAGGTTGCAACCTTATATGTAGAACTATGGATGCACCTCAAAAATCCATTGAAAAATGTAGTTTTAATGTTAAAAACCTTTGATTGATCATCTCGACATCGAGATGTATGACCATGAAAATTAAAAAGATTTTAAGTCTCAGAAATAGTGCATTTTACAACATATTATCTGCACCGTCCATTTTCAAGATTTTCATATGTTTATAGATCTACTTGATTTTAACCATTTTTGAAATTTAAATTTTTATAATTAGATATAAAAATACTTGTAACACATTTTTGGACCGTCAATTTTTAATATTTTCAAGTTTTCATAGATATGGTCAATCTACAATATTTTTGAAGCTTTAAATTTTATAATTAAAGATGAAAATATATTTTAAAGCTATCACAAAGATTTCCAGTATTGAAACCGCATTTCTCGACATTCTTTGAAGGTGTGTTCTACTTTGATTGTTTAGAGCGTCGGCTCTATATGAACTGCTTAATGTCAAGTATATTAAAATTTCATGAAAATTAAATCTTGAAAAATCACCTAACTTTTCTATAATTTCATTTCGGAAGCATCTACAAAAAACCTATAGGTAAAGTTTTATAGTACTTCACCTACACCTCATCACCGTTCAAAGTTCATCACAAGATCACAATTATCCTGTAGTATTTGAATTTTTATAATTATTATACTAATCAAGTTTATCTAAAATTTGGGACTCGTATACATATGACCAAATCACACTAAAATAAAATATTAAAAACTAAGTCATAAAATAACATGATAAAATTACCCTCAGAAACTTTATAGGGGTATTTTGTATAATTTTTATCATTCAAATTATTTGGTTTATATTTTATTCATCTGCATCTCACTAAGGCACACATACTTACAAAATTTCAGATAATTATGATTTGTAAAAAAATTATTAAAATTCAAACACTATCATACATATGTGAACGTGTGATAAATTTTGAACGGTGATAGATCCGTAGGTGAAATACTGTAAAAATTTACCTATAGGCGTTTTGTAGTGTGTTCCTTTCATTTCCACACTAAAATATGTTTTTTTGAATTTCCAAAGCCTGTGGATTCCACTCATCCACCCCTTGACCTGAAACTTA